ACAAACTTATATACAATGCTTATTACCACAAAACACAGATCAAGTTTGAATTTTAGTGGCGTCACTTTAACCTTTCTAGAGTTATGCCCCTTTATAAAAGAAAAATTGCAAAAATTTTCATTTCCGTTCTCTGACTTAAGTTTGCCTCAACCAAATGTTATGAAACTTATACACAATGCTTATCACCACAATACACAGATCAAGTTTGAATTATGGTGGCGTCACTTTTACTGTTCTAGAGTAATGCCCCTTTACAATAGCAATTTTTCATTTTTTTCAAAAAATATCAATGATGCTATTGTTCAAGTAATTTTTATACGACCGCAAAAAAATTTTGCTGTCGTATATTGGTATGACGTTGGCGTCATCGTCATCGTCCCAAGACACATTGGTTTTCGCACTCTAACTTTTGTTTAAGTGAATGAATCTCTATGAAATTTTACCATAAGGTTCAATACCACAAAAGGAAGGTTGGGATTGATTTTGGGGGTTATGGTACCAACAGTTAAGGAATTAGGGGCCAAAAATAAGCATTTTTGTAACTTCCAGACATAACTTGTGTGTTAGTGTATGGATCTCTCTGACATTGATCCACAAGGTTCCATATCACAAAGGGAATGCTGGGATTGATTTTGGGGGTAATTGCCTCCAAATTTTTGGAATTGGGGGCCAAAAAAGGGGCAAAAAACAAGCATTTTTCTAGTTTCATGACAATAACTTGTGTGTAAGTGTATGGATCTTTATGAAATTGTACTACAAGGTTCCATATCACAAAGGGAAAGCTGGAATTGAGTTTGGGGGTAATTGCCCAAAACGTTTAGGAAAAAGGGGCCAAAAATAAGCATTTTTCTAGTTTCCAGACAATTACTTGTGTTCTAGTGTATGGATCTCTCTGAAATTGTACTGCAAGGTACCATACTACAAAGGGAAGGCTGGGATTGATTTTGGGGGTAATTGCCTCCAAATTTTAGGAATTAGGGGCCAAAAAGGGGCACAAAAACAAGCATTTTTCTAGTTTCAGGACAATAACTTGTGTGTAAGTGTATGGATCTTTATGATATTGTACTACAAGGTTCCATATCACAAAGGGAAAGCTGGGTTTGAGTTTGGGGGTAATTGCCCTAAAGTTTAGTAAAATGGGGCCAAAAAGGGGCCAGAAAACAAGCATTTTTCTAGTTTCCAGACAATAACTTGTGTTCAAGTGTATGGATCTCTCTAAAATTGTACTGCAAGGTACCATACCACAAAGGGAAGGCCGGGATTGAGTTAGGGGTGATGAATCATAAGGAGGTTCAAAACATTTGGAGGAGGGATTTTTTTTCCTTTTTTTTCTTTAAAATTTTCCATTTTAAATTGGTTACTTCTGATTTATATATAAAAGCAAATAATAATGATATGGTTTGAATAGGTAAATTAAAATTTTTTAAGTTCTTAGACCACATTCATTCTGTGTCAGAAACCTATGCTGTGTCAAATATTTAATTACAATCCAAATTCAGTGCTGTATCAAGCTTGAATGTTGTGTCCATACTTGCCCCAACTGTTCAGGGTTCGACCTCTGCGGTCGTATCAAGCTGCGCCCAGCAGAGCATTTTATTAAAATTGGAGTTATCTTCCTTTGTCCATGATTATGATTGAATCAAGTACAATCAATGCTTTATACAATGCAATGTTTAATTTTGCCTTCCACTGATAAAACACAGATCAAGTTGAATTTGGGTAGTGTCACTTTAACCATTTTTGAGTGATGCCCCTTTATAAATCGAAAAATTGTAAAATTTTTAGTTTCCGTTCTGTAACTTAAGTTTGCCCCAACCAAACATGAAACCTATACACAATACTTATTACCACAAAACTAAGATCAAGTACAAATTTGGGTAGCGTCACTTTTATTGTTCTTGAGTTATGTCCCTTTTTAATGTATCCAAGCAGGGGCATCATCTGTGTCCATGGGGACACATTCTCCATTTATTTTGTATAATCCGCCAACACATTTTTAAAATATCCTGTATACAAAAATAAAAGTTGTTAATTGAATAAAACAACCTCTCAACTACAAAAGGCAATGAAAGAATTATATAGGCATCCGATATTTTTTAAAACCAATAAAATTTGTTCAGCAGAATCTGCTACCCATAGAGATGAAATGAATCCGTATGCTTGAAGTAAGATTAGCATATGTTGATACTATATTATCATACATGAAATTGAATATTATGTCCAGAACAATGCAAGACATAGAGGTGTATACGAATGAAAGTTATGATAGATCCGAATTTTATTAGAATGCACCAATAAGAAACCGTAGTTTTTCTTCAATTTATTTACCTAAAACTATTATATCAGCTGCAAAATTATTATTATATGTACGCCTACATTGCACTACACAATGGAAATTAACAATGTATATTTATATAAACGATCAAACTTGTAAATAAATAAATAAATAAATAGATAACGACTACAGACATAAAAAGGAGAGAACAATCGATTATATACGGTTATAACCGAATATTGTATAATCACTGTCCAGCACAATTGATGAAATATTAGTGTACTGTACAACTGAAGAAATATCACTGTACTGTACAAATGATGACGATCACTACTATACAGTACAATTGATTAACTATCACTGTACAGTACAATTTATGAAATATCACTGTACAGTACAATTTATGAAATATCACTGTACAGTACAATTTATTAAATATCACTGTACAGTCAATTGATGAAATATCACTGTACAGTACAAATGATGAAATATCACTGTACAGTACAATTGATGAAATATCACTGTACAGTACAATTGATGAAATATACTTGTGCAGTACAATTGATGAAATATCACTGTACAGTACAATTGATTAAAATATCACTGTACAGTGCAATTGATGAAATATCACTGTACAGTACAATTGATGAAATATCACTGTACAGTACAATTGATAAAATATTACTGTACAGTACAATTGATGAAATATCACTGTACAGTCAATTTATGAAATATCACTGTACAGTACAATTGATAAAATATTACTGTACAGTACATTTGATGAAATATCACTGTACAGTACAATTGATGAAATATCACTGTACAGTCACTACAAATTGATGAAATATCACTGTACAGTACAATTGATGAAATATCACTGTACAGTCACTACAAATGTACAAAAGTCTAAAAAGACCAATTTTTGTCTCAATTTGCATGAACAATTACTCGACATTCTCCAAAATTATGACTTGTGTCTAAATTTTTCTTGACAATTTCTGATTTATATTAAATTTGTATGCAATTTACTCTACAAATTCTCGACATTCTGAATATGGTCTTAAAATTTCTTGACAAATTCTCGACATTTGAATACTGTCTTGAAATTTCTCGACATGTTCTCGACATTCTTTTTTTTTCTTAGTATGGCTTGACATATTCTGGACATTTTGAATTGTGTTTTAAATTTACGTGACAATTCTGAGCTTTACAAATCATGACCAATATACATGATATATCTTTATCTTTAATTCTCTTTATAGAATAAACAAAAGTTGGGCATGTAAATATTTTTATAATTAAAAATTTTGGTATAAAAATATTTTTATAAATACAAATATGGGTATGAAAATAAGAACAAATACAAATGTGAGTATGTTGATATAAACCAATTTAAATGTGGGTTTGTAAATAATTACAAATGTAATTTATAAATCTTATAAATAATTGCTAAAATGATTGAAACCAATCATACTGTAGACATCTTTCATTTTTCATGCATAATATTCAATGTTAATATGATAAATAAACAATTATTGTACCAAAATGTGGCTTTTTATAATTAGCAATGTATTATTGTATCCTAATTCTTCTAAGTTTAGTTTAGCGATACAGTAAAAAACAGCAAAAGAAAGTGTTTAAAATTTAAACTGTCAGAAATGTGTCTATACACAATTCAGGCGAAATTTATACTTATGAGATTGAGTCAAGACATCTTTAAGACTGTCAAGAATGTGTCAAGACATATTAAGACATTATTAAGAATGTCAAAAATATGTCAACACTGATCGAGACAAATTTAAGACAGTGAAGAATTGGTCGAGACTAATCAAGAGACTTATCAGATGATAAGGAAAGTGTCGAGAAATTTTTGGACAATGTTAATACTGTCAAGACATATGTCAAGTAAAATCAAGAACTATATTAGACAAATTCAGAATTTGTCACTTTTTTTTAAAAATATTTCAGACAAAGAAAGAATGTCGAGTAAAAATTCATGCAAATTCAGACAAAAATTGTACAGTACATTTGATGAAATATCACTGCACAGTACAATTGATGAAATGTCACTGTACAGTACAATTGATGAAATATCACTGAACAGAACAATTGATGACTACCACTGTACAGAACAATTGATGACTACCACTGTACAGAACAATTGATGACTACCACTGTACAGTACAATTGATGACTACCACTGTACAGAACAATTGATGACTACCACTGTACAGAACAATTGATGACTACCACTGTACAGAACAATTGATGAAATGTCACTGTACAGTACAATTGATGAAATATCACTGAACAGTACAATTGATGACTACCACTGTACAGAACAATTGATGACTACCACTGTACAGAACAATTGATGACTACCACTGTACAGAACAATTGATGACTATCACTGAACAGTACAATTGATGACTACCACTGTACAGAACAATTGATGACTACCACTGTACAGAACAATTGATGACTACCAACGTACAGTACAATTGATGAAATATCACTGAACAGTACAATTGATGACTACCACTGTACAGAACAATTGATGACTACCACTGTACAGTACAATTGATGAAATATCACTGTGCAGTATAATTGATGAAATATCACTGTACAGTACAATTGATGAAATGTCACTGTACAGTACAATTAATGAAATATCACTGAACAGTACAATTGATGGAATATAATATCAATATTCCAATATACGTACTGTATTATATGAGCCCTCTTGTGGTCTATAAACTGTCTCATTTTCCCAGAAATCGTAAACACCAACTGAAATGGAATTATACACGTTTTATGATTATTATGCACGTTAGCTTATACTGCTTTAGCAAGACTAATATTTTTCTATTTTTAACGGTCGTTTTCAAATGATAAATAGTGGCATAATTTCTTTGATCTTTTATAACAACATGTCTGAGTTCTTCATTTGCCTATGGCGTTATATCCGCAATAGCTTAACTTGCCTCGATCAACACTTTATCGGTTATATCATTTAAAGACTCTTTCAAACTCACATAACCGATTTGATGATGTCAGTGTTCTTTCCGCAGATTTGAATTTAAGCAACTTCTCTTAAAATGAGATGCGTAAATATCTATCAATTTAACTGTATACTATAATTTTAAATGTTCGTACGTATACATTTATTTCAGCAAAACACAAAAGTCAAATGTAACAGACATCACAAATAGAAAAATTATGCAAACACATCAATAAAATGAGGAAAACCTGTAATCATATTATTAATTATACTAAACTGAAGTGTAGGTTCACATACAAAGTTGTCTTGTGAAGTAATCTCCAGCACCTCTTAAAAGACCAGTAAACGAGTCGAACCCTCTAGAGGTTGGAAGAAGATTCTTATTACAATCTCCAAGATGCCACCTATAAAATATTTTTATTTTATCATGATTTATTGCTTTATTGTTTCCCCTCTATATAACATATGATACATACAATGAATAATAAACTACTGTACCTATAAACTGCATATGACAAGAATGGAATGATACATTTGGTATACGCCAATGAAAAAGCACTTAAACGACACAAAATAATAATAATTTAGAGGTCATCGTATGCTCTCCAACAATTGCTAAGTGTATATATACATGATATAATATGTCAAGTTTTAAATTTTCGTAATTGAACACAGGCTAGCTATCAAACTTATTTCATCAGTATTAAATTCTCTAAATGGCGCCATATATTGTTTTATACGAAAAAACAACCCTTAACGATGCTTAAATACTCACTCTGTCTCAGTGCAGAATAGACCGACCATAATTATTCACTAAGCAAAGTGCAAACGATGTCCTTGCATTTTTATAATAACTTTCACTAGATACACTAGAGAGCAATTATCTGGAAAGCCAAACCAAAAAAAAAAAAAAAAAAAAAAACTGTTTGAAGAAATCAACCAGAACAACCAAAACTAAAGCTTAAGTTAACGTGCAGCCAGAACAACCAAAACTAAAGCTTAAGTTAACGTGCAGCCAGAACAACCAAAACTAAAGCTTAAGTTAACGTGCAGCCAGAACAACCAAAACTAAAGCTTAAGTTAACGTGCAAACTTGTTGAATTTTATGAAATGAAAATTAAAGGAAAAACAGAAAATTTGAATCATGAAAAATACTGGAGCACTAGCTACTAAGTACATGAGCACTTTGACAGAAGTCTGGATGTTTACATTGGCAATTGTGTTTATTTTGTAACTAACTTAAAACATACTTTCCTGTCATGTGAGTAGTATAACCGATTTCCTTTAACATTTCTGGTAGCAATGTAGCAGATTCTGGCAGGAATTTAGCCTCATTTGGGATGATTGAACCAAACTGAAGTAAACAACACAATGATATGATCACAGGGTGATAGTCTATGAGACAGTAAACAAACAACACAATGATATGATCACAGGGTTATAGTCTATGAGACAATAAACAAACAACACAATGATATGATCACAGGGTGATAGTGTATTAGACAGTTAACAAACAACACAATTTTATGATCACAGGGTGATAGTGTATTAGACAGTAAACAAACAACACAATGATATGATCACAAGGTGATAATCTATGAGACAATTAACAAACAACACAATGATATGATCACAGGGTGATAGTGTATTAGACAGTTAACAAACAACCTAATGATATGATCACAGGGTGATAATCTATGAGACAGTTAACAAACAACACAATGATATGATCACAGGGTGATAGTGTATTAGACAGTTAACAAACAACCTAATGATATGATCACAGGGTGATAATCTATGAGACAGTTAACAAACAACACAATGATATGATCACAGGGTGATAGTGTATTAGACAGTTAACAAACAACACAATGATATTATCACAGGGTGGTAGTGTATTAGACAGTAAACAAACAACACAATGATATGATCACAAGGTGATAGTCTATGAGACAACAAACAAACAACACAATGATATGATCACAGGGTGATAGTGTATTGGACAGTAAACAAACAACACAATGATATGATCACAGGGTGATAATCTATGAGACAGTTAACAAACAACACAATGATATGATCACAGGGTGATAGTCTATGAGACAATAAACAAACAAATCAATGATTTGATCACAGGGTGATAGTCTATGAGACAGTAGACAAACAACACAATGATATGATCACAGGGTGATAATCTATGAGACAGTTAACAAACAACACCATTATATGATCACAGGGTGATAGTCTATGAGACAATAAATAAACAAATCAATGATTTGATCTCAGGGTGATAGTCTATGAGACAGTAGACAAACAACACAATGATATGATCACAGGGTGATAATCTATGAGACAGTTAACAAACAACACCATGATATGATCACAGGGTGATAGTCTATGAGACGGTTAACAAACAACCAGGCATGGGGCGAATTACATTGCAATGTAATGCATTATATTACAATTACTTTGACAAAAGAATGCATTAAATTACAATTACATGGATTTATTAAAGTAATGCATTATATTACAATTACTTTTGCAAAGTAATGCATTGAATTACACATTACATTTGGAAATGTTATTATAAAGTGAAAAAAAATCCAACATTTTGAAAAACAACATGAAGTCACAAAAGATTCTAGCATAACTGTTCTGTATACATATTAAATTTAAGCAACAAGTAAAAAGTCTGTTCAATACAACTATAACATATTAATATCATAAGGGTTGAAGGTATACATCTCTGTGTTTTCTCTAAACAGAAATTACTGAGATGAAGTTTAATATTTATTTTAACTAATGTAAACTTCAATTTTATAAATATACATTTGTTTTATTAATTCCAATCAAAAATATTTACTGAGAATTTCTTTCCTAATTATATAATAAAGAAAGAGCTTTATTTATGACCAAGTGTCAAAATGGTGAAAAGATTGATTGTCAAATAAACTAATTAGTGTTTATGACAATGGTCAATTTTCTGTTATTTAATCATGACAAGGTCTCCATTGATGTTTTAACAACAATAAAACACATTTACAGTAATGTTTTTCAGATAAGAAAAAAAAAAACAATATCCAAATGATTATGTTCTAAATTAATCCAGAAATCTGAAATTCTGATTAAGCTGAATCTCCAACAATCTGTGAAAGATAATTAGTATATGAAACAAGTAATGCCATGTAATGCAATGTAATGCATGAAATTACACAACTTTTTTCTCAAGTAATGCATTAAATTACAATTACATGTAATGCAAAAATTGCTGCATTACACATTACATGCAATTACTTGGAAAAATGTAATGCATTACCATGCATTACAATTACAAATTTGCATTACCCCATGCCTGCAAACAACACAATGATATGATCATTGGGTGATAGTCTTTGAGACAATTAACAGCAACACAATGATACGATCATTGGGTGATAGTCTATGAGACAGTAGACAAACAACACAATGATATGATCACAGGGTGATAGTCTATGAGACAGTAGACAAACAACACAATGATATGATCACAGGGTGATAGTCTATATTACAGTAAACAAACAACACAATAATATGATCAGAGGGTGATAGTCTACGAGACAATAAACAAACAACACAATGATATGATCACAGGGTGATAATCTATGAGACAGTAGACAAACAACACAATGATTTGATCACAGGGTGATAGTCTATATTACAGTAAACAAACAACACAATAATATGATCATTGGTTGATAGACTATGAGACAGTAGACAAACAACACAATGATATGATCACAGGGTGATAGTCTGAGACAGTAAACAAACAACACAATGGTATAATCATAGGGTGTAAACGTCTATAACTCAGTAAACAAACGAACATCACAATGATATGATCACAGGGTGATAGTCTATGAGACAGTAACCAAACAACACAATGATATGATCATAGGGTGTAAACGTCTTTTAGGCAATAGGGAAACAACACAATGATATGATCATAGGGTGTAAACGTCTATGAGACAATAGGGAAACAACACGATGATATGACCATAGGGTGTAAACGTCTAATAGACAATAACCAAACAACACAATGATATGATCATAGGGTGTAAACGTCTATGAGACAATAGGGAAACAACACAATGATATGTTCAAAGTGTGTAAACGTCTATGAGACAGTAACCAAACAACACAATGATATGATCATAGGGTGTAAACGTCTATGAGACAATAGGGAAACAACACAAGGATATGATCATAGGTTTGATATCACTGCTTTTTAATTGTTAGTCCGCAAGGGTATCACCAGCTCAGTCTCTCGGGCAAATTTAATCTTCGATGAATTTGCCTGTTCTGGTTTTTAAACGTTTCTACGTATTAACAAAATCCTTGCTTTTGAATATTTACTTTTGAGCGTTCACAGTGAAGACAAGAAAAGAGCTTCGGACGCAGGAAATACATAACGTTTTTCATTTATGGCCCTGTTTGTACCATTACGGTTATTCCAGAAACGCGAAAATTAATATCATAAGCTTTCTTTTTATGCATTAAAAAGTCTAGCACGTATCAAAGGTAGTTGTCAGAGAACCTGCTTCAAAGCAATCGATTTTAAGAAGCTTTTATCAATCGAAACTAGAAAAAAATAATGTATCTTTGGCTACCGAGTTTGGTACTATTCTAAAATCTATAACAAACTATCGGTGTCCTAAAAAGTATTTTATAAACGTTACAATAAAAGTGAGAGAGTGGTTTTTTAATTTTGAAAGTATGTATGCATATGTTATTGAAATCTACACTAGTAACGGGTTTTACTACTGAAACGGTCATTTTAAACTGAACAACTCTTAAATGCCTGAAATTACCGCAAGGAAAAATATCAATATCGTTTTCAGTTGTTCAGTACATGTTCAGTACACTAGCTATCGCGATCGATTAAGTACCAGTCAGTACTGGTTCAGGTAATAATAAAAAAAAAAAAAAAAACGCCTAGAGTCGAATCAAGTACTGTCAAGTACATTTTAGTACACGTCAGTTCATCGATAAAATAGTTGTTTGGGAATTTTCAGTAGCGTTCAGTTCCAGGTAAATCTATCAATTTGGACATAAAATTGTTTGTGCAGATTCACAAGGTTTGTCTCCCTTTATTCGAGCTTGTTTTGAATACCCTGATTTCTCAATTATATTCATTTCCTTCCGTGAAAATTTGTTTGCTTTATTTCATTGTCAAAAATAAAATATATGTGACAGTTGAATGAACACAAATAAAACTAAAATGAAATATGTTCTCGGAATTGCGTACAAATTTACCTAGCTTTAACGGCCGAAAGTGGCTTTTGACAAATTCTTCAAATTGTAACCTTTGAACAATTTATACTCAATTGATTAAATTGGACAATTAAACTTTGTTATTGTAAATATCAATTTTATCTATAAAATGTAGTTTTATGAGAATAAAGTTAATTGCATATCATTCAATTTGCAATGTATTTTGTTCATGTTTTAATATCAAATATACTCTATTGCAATCATAAAAAATATAGCAAGTTTTCGCATGGAAGGAAATATTGATGATCGAAAATAACTTTTACAAAAAAAAAAAACTAATGTATTTGTTTATATAAAGAATATGTTCCGTAATGACATGAATTCTTATTCGAGGTCTGTAAAAATACTACACACAATTTTTTGTTAGTATTTCGTTAGTTAGCAAATAAATAACATGGAAATTTATATCAGTTAAAGAATATTGTTTATACAGCCTAAAACATGATAGTCTCCTTAAGTCTCCATCCGTTGCTGTATATTAAGTCGCTAAAAAACGACGATTTTCAAATAAAATGTCAAAAAATAGTTGTCAAATCCGTGAGTAAATATTTAAACCTTAGCAACAGATACCATGTATTGCGTATTTCAAATATTCAAAATAATTAAATTAAAAATGCACCCCCCCCCCCACCCCCCCCCCCCCCCCCCCCAATAAAAAAGAACATGTATGATAGCTTTTAATGTTTTTTTAAATTACATGTATCATTTGGGGATCGGCTTCGTTCTCTATTTGTTTTCTCGTGTTTTTTCTTTCTTTTTTTTAATGATAAATGAAAAAAAAACCAATATACAGTCAATAACAGCAGACAGGTTTACCCATATAGTGTATAACAGTTGAGAATTAATTTAACGGAAACAATGAAAGATCTGCCATCAACGCCAATTTTTTTTTTATAAAAATATGTTCTGAACATGCATGTAATATTTGCCACTGGACGTTAAGTAATTATCAATCGATCATTTTCATGAAATGACATTATGTTTTGAAGCTCAAGGTTAGTATATATCTATATATACACGTGAAGCTGTGATACTGTGATTTTT